TTAAGCTTGCAGTTTAGGGGACATTTTCACAGCCAAACATATGATATTTACTGAAACTGTTGAAATGCCAATTTCAAAATTTCCCAAAGTCTCACAATTGGCCATATTTGTGTCACTGAGCCTACAGGACCGGGTGTGCTTCCATATGTATTTACATTGCCATGGTAACATTTGATGTCAAAATACATATACTTCCTCCTTTGAAGTATCGAACCGCATTATTTCATCCCAAGTTCCTGACAGTATTTTTGCTGGGAACCTTTGTGAATAGGCCCTCAACTGTTTTTTGATGTCTTGATTGATCAATTGATGTATCAGTTACTCAATTACATATTTTTGTTTGATTAATCTAAAACTATTTTCAAAGATGGATTTGTGATGGAGTGTTGATTTTACCAAATAGTTGTTCGCAGTACCCGCTGCTACATCTGATCCGAACTAGCCAGCTGACACCGGCAAGCTCGGGTGGTCGAGTGGTTAAGATGTCTGCACTAGTAAGCAGATGGTCTTGGGTTCGAGTCCCACCTGAGTACGCTTGTGGTTTTTTCACAAGCCTTTGGGGCATACACTGAGTATACAGTTCTTTGACCCGCGTAATTGAAAGTCACTTGTATTTCCTTTGAACCATGTATAGATGGATCCCAATTACGAGCCAGATGACATGGAGACGCGTACCCTCTTTGGCCTACAGCTACAGCAGCTGCGCAATAATGCCGTCGTCACCAAGAAACTTTTTGAAAACGTGGTGACCAAGCGACGGGAGGTAGGAATGGCCATTCAGAAATTCTAAGCTGTGAATTTTGGAGACTAATTCCTTTGCCCAAAGGGGCTGATTGACAGTGCAAAAGTGTGTAAAAATGAACATTCAACAATGCAGTGTGTTTATCAAAGTGAATCGCTGTCCAGCATCGTTGCAAAGTGACTAAGCAGGCACTGGTACGATAAGTCATCTGATAATCCTTAGAAAGCCGTGTGAGATTACAGGTAAACAACTCTACAGTGATTGTTGAAATAGCTAAAACCTGTAAGCAAAATATCGTGCACTGCCCATATCAAATCAATGCGCAAATACAGTCACTGAGTAAAGGCCTTGGGGCACTATTGGGAAGATGTTACGTAGAAATGAGACTGAAAGGGTGTCGGCTAGTAGCCTTGAACCCAGTGACTCCAAAGTTGAAATCAGAGTCTCTTAGCTTTGTCATCTGAAATTACCTGTTTTGGGTTTTTTTTGGGGGGTGGGGGGAGCAGTTGCCTGAAGGGGGCTTGCGTGATCTGATTGTGGCCACCATTGCTGTCAAGTACACCCAGTCCAACTCGGTGTGCTACGCTCTGGACGGTCAAGTGATCGGGAGCGGGGCGGGCCAGCAATCGCGCATCCACTGCACCCGACTGGCCGGCGATAAGGCCAACAACTGGTGAGTTTGTGTGCGTAATGTTCCACACCATAATAATCAAAACCCGATGATGATGAATTTGGCCATACAGTGTTGTCCGACTCGTTCTCTTGGCACATTTCTGAATTCAGTGCAATTCAACAACGGCAAGGCATGCTATCTGCAGATTTAAAGCAGTCATAAAGAGAACATTTTTTTCCTGTGTTTGGTTTTGTTGCACCAGCGATGATTATTCTTCCTTTTATTGAAATTATCACAACTGCAATGATACCTGGGATTTGAACTTGTGCATTTATCAGTTAACCGTAACTGCCCAAGGGTTGCTGGACCTAACCTTCCCCATTCACACAAAGTTAAACACCCATGTGGGACTTTGTGCACAGAGGCTGTTGGACTTTGTTTTTCTGAGGTATGACGAACCCAATGCAAAAGCCAGCTGTCTGGGCCCTACCGGACCTATCCCCACAGAATTAAACACTTTACTACTGTTTAATTCTGTGTGGTTGGGGAAGGTTAGGGTTAATGTCAGATTTTCTTACCCGCTGGGGTGTGGTTGTTTTTACCTGCAAATTCTTCAACCTTGCGATTGCACTTTGACTCAGCCAGGCACGGCACATGAATACGTTAACCTCGAAAATGAAAAAAAAAGAATTCTTGAACGATCGAACACATAAGGAAAATTATGCATCTACGCGTCATCCGCGGTCAAGTGTTTACACATGCATGCTTGGATGTTCTGAATTTTCTAGGGACACTTGATCTCAGTTTTTCTTCTGAAATAATGGCTAGGAATTACATAAACACTTTAGAGCCATTAGTTGGCTCAGTGAGAAAATCTCTCAAGTTGCGAAGGATTTCAAGCCTCGGAACTGAGAATTTAACTGACTTTATGTGCCAGGACCATTTTCTAAATTCCGTCCTCTCCACGGTGACAGAGCACTTCAGAATATATTCCTCGGAGCTGGATGGGCTGTAACGTGAAGTTGTGTCTACTAACTTGTATTAACTATAGACCCAGAGGAAAACTACCAAGTGGAGTGGTTTCCTTTGGTGCTGGTTCCTCCTCATTCTCTCTCTGCTTCTCAGGTGGCTACGTCAGCATCCCAAAGTTCTGGGTCTTTCCTTCAAGGAAGGCGTCAAGAGAGCCGAGAGGTCCAACATCATCGATGTCTACGTCAACGGGACAGTTAGTCAGGTAGGACCACACACAATCAGGAAATCAACTCCAATGTTGTATTCTGAACAGTACTGTGTAATTTATGAGGTGTCGTCTTATCGTTGCGGGTAGCAGTCCATGATACGACAATAAAAAAACAATATCAACCTGCAACAGATTCTGATTTGTAACGAAAAAGGCATTTGAAAACAATTCTGAAGTAATCGTTCTCATTGTGAAACTTAGAGGCATGTTCAGTATTGTGGCAGTTGGAATGGGCATAACTTCATCAGCGACGGTGGGCATATCATTGAAAGTAGCCGTGGAGTGAACTAACCCACACAGCAAGTGTGAAATCTTTCTTGTTCACTTGCCTGCTCGCTTGAATCACTGACAATGATTTGTGTCGGTTTCTCTCAGGACATGGATAAAGACACATGGGAAGGCTCTCTGCAGACCGTCCCTGAACAGCTGACTGAAGTAAGATACATGTATTTGCTATTTGGTCATGAAGCGAATAGACAGATCCAGTAAGTCCCAGCCCCCCTGTGCACGCGGGCAGCCCCCTGTGCACGCGGGCAGCCCCCTGTGAACGTGGGCACTCAGTGAGTGTTCTTCTCCAGTGCCATACTGCTTGTTCCACCCACGGCCATCAGATGTGTGTGCAAGTATGTTGGACATTTGTGCAGGTGTGTCGGACGTCAATCTGTGATTGGTCAGAACACAATGGGGCGGGGCTTAATGGATCAGTCTATTGATGTGGACGACTCTTTTCTTTGCTTGCAGTGTTGTTGACTGAGAACAGTGCATTGCATATCCGACAAACTGGCGTCTGTTTGACCTTTCTGGTGATTTCCAGATTTTATCTCACTAACTGACGAATGGGTTTGGCAACGGTATTCAATGTATTGCTCATAGAGCCAGAAATACTGATTAGGAAATCACTTCAAAGACCAATTTTGTATGTTTTAGACACAGATCAAAAGAGGGTCGAATGTCAAAAATGAGTATGCAATAACTGCTCAACTGAAAACGTGTTTTTCTTGAAAACATTGATATTTCGTATTCGCCGGTTCGTCAGATATGCCACAATTTTCTCAGTTCGGTGAATTTGTTCGCTGATTTTGAAATTCAAATATTGTGCAGACCTGCATATGTAAATTTGCTTGGAGCTCTGCATTTGGTTGGATTTTGAAAATGTTTGACTGTTCGGTTGGAAAAAGGTAAAAAAGAATTGGCTTTTTGGGACTTAACAAGCGTGCTCGTCTGTCTTTTAGTTGGTCATACTCTCAGTTTATAAATAGTTTTCATAAGCCTAGCGATATTTAACTTGTGAAACTGAATCTGCTGACGTTTTATCTGTTTTAACCCTAACCCTGACGGTGTACGTAAAATCATATTGGAAGTTGAGGATTTTGGACTGTTACGGATTGGGGGAAATGATATTGTAATGAGTGTTGTGCATTTTCCATCTGTGAAGGCGGAGCGCAAGGACTGGCTGGCCAAACTGAAGGGAGTGGCCCTCAGCTCGGATGCCTTCTTCCCCTTCCGTGACAACATCGATCGTGCTCATCAGGTGAGGCCGGAGACTAGTGCATCCATCGTTGACAAGCGTGCATTTGGTCAGAGTTAGTGGAACTGTTGTTAACTGTAGTCCTTGATTGAAGTTGCTCGAGGCTGTTCTCATTGTCAGACTTTCGAGTAGTGGCGTGAGTGGATTCAAAGCTGACTCGTCACCATGGAACTTTTCGGGGTTTCAATTTGTCAATTCAAAATGATGTACAAGGGACTTGGTAGCAACATCGCTATTAAATTCAGTCGCTCTTTTGATTAAACGAGTTCAGGATACTTGGATTATCAGGAAGTCTGTTATCAATTGTATCTTTCTCAGAGGTTTTAGCTGAGGACCTTGAATTATCTCAAACAGAATGACTCTGGTCAATAGATGAACTGTGAAATGTACAATTTGTAAGGGGTTGTTTGAGATTTGTGCAAAGTTTCATGTTGGTTGAAATTTTTGAAATGTCTTGGCACTGATCTTTTGGCATTTTTGTCTCAGAAAACAAGTCCACGTACCGTAGCTTTTTAGAAGATTGAAAAACCAAGGCATGTTTGAATAACAGTCGGGAACTGAAAATGTCTTTGTGGAGTATATGTATGCTGAAAGTTTTAAAATATCTAAGTCAGTCATTCAACAATTTGTTCTGAAGTTTAGGGACCGATTTGGCGTGGAGTAACCCAGTACCCAACTTATTGATGGCTTTTGTTCTTTTGGACCAGAGTGGGGTAGAGTTTATCGCCAGTCCGGCCGGAGCTGTGCAAGACCAGGCCATCATACAGGCTTGCGATGAGCACGGCATAGCTCTGGCTCACACCAATGTCCGCCTGTTCCACCACTAGAAGAAACGGATGGCACCGTGGGGTAAGTAGAGCCCTTCTCTGTAGCCTTGTTAATCAAAATGAGGGGAAGAAATGATCTGTCCTGAGACACCTCGTCAACAGAAAGAACGTGGCCGTAATACCACGGTCTGGCGAATTTTTAGTCAACTTTTTCAGGTGTTCTTGTTTTCAAGAGCAGACAAAAAACATTAAAGATATTGCCTCCATGATGTGACAGTTACATGAAATCTTGGGCCTTCCACTGCATGTTTCTTTTTGCATCTTGACAGATTACTTAATTCCCGTGAAGGATGAAGACAGCATTTTTTTTCCTTTTTTATGGGTACTTGTATAGCAGTGCCTTTCCACCTGCCTGTCAAAATAGATTTGGAGTTTAGAAAGTAAAATCCTTAGATTCCTCAACCAAATATTGGCCAGCTTTTTCAACTTTCGCCATCCTATTCCTGTGCTAACACCCAAACTGCAGATTTGAGTCAGAGGTCGTGAAACCATTTTTTTCTGGTGTGTTCTTTCTTTGTCCTCCAGCTGACGGTAGTCATCTTATCCCATGAAGCAGGGTCGTTGTAACAATGCAAGATGATCGACAAATACTAGCGCGCAGGAGAGTCAGATTACAGACTGTTATCATGGCATGTACATGTCTCAGCCTTGTATTTAAGTATGGTTGTAGGTGTGGCTACATGCACATGTAGTTGGAGGTATTTGTAATGAATTGAGTAATTAATCTTTTAAATTATAATTGCGTATCAATGTAAGCATTATATTGTTTTGTTCTAAATAAATGGTAGTCACGTAACAGTGTAAAAAAAAGGCCAAGAAGCTAAGCTGACCAGCAGATTTTGTTCTAGTGAAATAAAATGCATTGGCTTATATGCATACCCAAGCCTTGTGCACATTTTAGGTACACACATAGCCTGTGCTTGCCCTCTTAAGGGCATGTTCTTGATTGTTGCAGATGGGAAATGTGAGTGTGACCTTTTTGACACTTCTTTCTGTCACAATCCTGTGAATTACTCTCAGTGGAATGCATTTCATCTTTTGGGATTTTTTTTTTTCAAAAGTTGAGGGCTGCAAAGTGACAGGGACTGGGCTGTACCGTCCTGAATCTGGCTACAATTTTTCAAATGGCAAGCTGTCAGATTGGAGCAAACTTACGATTTACACTTGCCTGTGGAAAGAAAACTCGTTATCCCAGACGATGAAAGGATTGAAACACATGCATTTTAATACTGAAATCTTAGTAAATTTGAAATATTGTCTGGATTTATCCTTGCCTGCAGTAGAAGTAACTTAGACAAGTTTATTATCAGTGTTTTCATGTTATGGAGATGGCAACTCCGACCAGACAAATTTTTTTTTTAATTGTTGCATGAAATGCGGTGAGTCAAAAGTCTATCCAGAGGACATCTATTTTCATTCCAAGATAAGTGCATGTTGCCAGCAAGACAGTTTTCCTGTTCAGTCAAACTGATCAGTCTTTTTAGTTTGTATTTCACAAGTGGAAATCAGCGATGTTAAATACGAATATGTTACTGTTTATGTAGATTAAGAGACAATAGAGGCTTTGCACAGAGGCCATCTTGCAGGGCATTTCTTTTGTTCCACTGGGAAACCATCTTTGCACATGTGAGTGAAACAAAAGCACTGGCCTGCAAGATGGCAGCCATGCAAACCCTCTATTCATTCCAAAAGCGGAGTTCAGGAGTCACTGTTTTTGTATTCACTTCTCGGGAGGTTTCACCTTAATTGCTTTACTGTTCAAATTCCTTTGAAATAGTTGCTTCTCTGATGAAAGGGATGGATATCCAGCAGTCTGTTGGTGTTTAATATGTCAGGTTTTTGTGGTGTTAGCAAACAGGAATTTGTGCATTGTTTTCATTGGTTTCAGAATGCTTCACACTTGTTTGATGTTGGAGACAGAACTTGCAGGGTTTGCACAAAAATAGTTTGGACCTGGACATTTCCCAGGTGTACTTCTAAAGTATGTGATCTGGGGCCAATTTCATAGAGCTGCTTAAGCGCAAAATTAGCTTAAGCACAAAAAACCTTGCTTAAAAAACAAAAGGTTACCAGCTCAAATTCTATGCGGTTGTCATGCTCACCAAAAGACAGGTGAATACCATTCCAAACCAATATACATCAGGTGGAGATTTGGCTGGTAACCTGATTTGTCAAGCAAGGTTATTTCACGCTTAAGCAAATTTTGTACGTAAGCAGCTCCATGAAATTGGCCTCTGGCTTTGAAATCAAGTAATTCTCCATGTGTCATGCTCACATCAGTCTAATGTTTTGAATTAATTATCTGTGTTGTACGGTACGTTATCATGAGGCATAAATATCTGAATGAGCAATTAGTTAAGTATCAGTGACTGACAGTTGAAGAAGCTCAGTTTAAAATGAAATCAGAGTTGTAAGATTAGAGATCAAAAACCTTGACATTTGTCTGGTTTGTATTTTTGTTAGAATTATGGTGGTATCTACATGTACATGAAGTACTTTATTTTATTGCCTTTTGTTAAACTGGTATAGAATACATCTGAAATTTCAGTTCGTGTTGTGCAAGTGTTAAAATATATACTCAGCCCTAAAAGACAGGAAACGTTCGGCCATTGGTTTTGTTGTTTTTGCATTGATGGTGTAATTTCACAGATGGAATTTTGGAACCACCCTTGCTGTCTTGTTCATTTTGAAGCATGAAGAACTCTTTTCATTGCCCCAAGATTCAATGTTTTGTCCAGTTTGATTAGGCTGTTTTTCATACAAAGTACGGAGCATTAGGTAAGTGATTGTGCTAGTTTTGTTGACTAAAATCATCTTTGCTTGTCTGAATGTTTTCTGAATGAAACATTTTTGCAAATACAAATTGTGGGTCAAAGATCACATCTCACCAAAGGACGATCAACTCATTTCAAGTCTGCTCTTAATTAACCTGTAATGTGGGTGCGATGTTATTTTGACTGGTTAAAATTTGAATGTGTCATACCTCAGTTTTGAATACTCTTTTTTCATTGGCCCCAAATGAGCTTGTGACAGGGCGACATAACTGCATATCACACTAATTGTTGGACGTTACATTGGCCTGTCTTCTGTGATATCATGCACGTGCACCCCCACAGTGCTCAGAGACTGTGAAGCTGCTAATGTTCAAAGATTTCTCTGGTGCCCTTAAAGAGCACCTTTAAGTAAACATGTTTTACATTGAGAATTCGCATCCTGGCCTGAATATTTATTTTAACAGATAAAATTAGAGAAACATGTTTTCCTTTTTTAGAGGTGCTCTTTAACGTACCTCAGAAGAACAAAAATGAAGTAAAAAGGGAAAATATGACAAACAATTTTGACTGCTGTGACATAGGGTATGTTTTAAACTCAAATGACACCCTCAGCTTTTTCTGGGGCACAATGCGTTGCTTGGAGTTTCAAAGTTTGGTAACCCACATCACGGCAGTCAGAAGTTGTTGGAATATGAAGAGGCTAAAACCTTTGGATTATTCAGTGATGAAAAAGGAATTTTGGAATGTGTCTTAGGCAGGTGTACATATTGTTGCTTACTGGGTATTTCTCTTTACTGATAAAGAAATGATGCACATCACAAAGGTTGCTGCCACTTGGAACAGAGGGATCGCAGATTCATGTCACGTAAGTTGTGCATCGGTAATGTTTTAACTTGTCAAGTTCTCCTTAGACTTCTTTTTTGATATTTTAAACATGGCTTAATTTACGCTTAATTTTTTCTTTCTGTTGTTCCAGTCATTTTGTTGGCAGTGAGTTGAGTCC